CTCACCGCTTTCTATGAGGTTTCCACTAAGTATGTCACGTAGAGACCAACCGCACAGAAATCACGTGGAAGTATAATGTCGTGAATTTTATATTTTTATATTTTAATTTTATATTTTATACAAATTTTTATACCGCGTTCGCTACCGGAAAGGCTAATAGCGTGTTGGCTCCCCACCCAGACATCTGCGGTCCGGAATTTTGCAAATATCTCAGGATCATTGTGGTTGAGTCACACATAATACCCTGTCGTAAAAATTGTAATATTCAGTAAATAAAAAATTAACAAGTTTTTAGTTCCATGAACGACTGTGTAGAAACGTCGGCGTTAACCATTAATTCGCTGTTTGTATAACGGAGCATACACGAGATTTTATCATATTATTTATTCACAGTAACTGAGATTTCTGTGAATTTCATCTTCTTCAGGTGCTGAAAAGGTAAAGTTAACCACAATCTAGGTAGACAAATATCTCCATAGCGTCAAGAGAAGAACGAATGTTTCGATCGCATCAGAAACAAAATGACTTGTCCAGTCACCGTTTCCATGACTCCACGTGGAATGCTCAGTTAAAGACTCAGAAAACGGTAAGTGGGTGGGAAAGCTTTTTACTCGTAATACGATTGGAACCTACGCTTCGCGGTTTTTCAATCGAAATAATGGAGGTGTTTGGATGACTAGATTTCAGTCTATTTGACTTTTGCAAGTCCTAAGAAACGAGAAATCCGCGAAACGTCGGCTTTATTAGAAAAATTATCGACAACATTCTCGGCAAAATAACGAATGTTGTCTATTTCTTAGTCAAATTCTCACAAACTCTTTGGACTGACTATTCCTTCACTATCTGATGAACTTTAATTCCAATTGAAATTTCTAGTACACCGCATTGCCTGACGTACTTCCCCGCCTATACGATGTTTTGCATTGAAGCACCTCTACCATACTGTACTAAGGAACATTCCAGAACCATGTTTCGAGCATCAACTCTAGCTTCGTCTGTCAAAACTGCGCCCATTACAGGACTCTAGGGAGAATTACTATGGTATTGGTATTGTATTGCTATTATGATTATAAACGGTTGTAACACAGTATCTTAAACATCAAAAAGTCTCACGTGGCAAACTAGCACATAGTCGAGCATTCTGCGTCGAACTAGTAAATATTCAGATCTGACATCTGGTTCAAACTATCTTCCACGAAGTCAATCCGCTACGATTTTTGTGCAATGCCTTCACCAGAACAATTCTGTTCTACAATTCTACTGCACTGACCGTCACCATAAAAATAAATAGTATAGTAACAATCTGATGTGTGCTCATCAAGGAAATAAAAGGCAGTACTGCTGTAATTCACACAACGAAAAATAGTTCTTATCGAAGGAGAATCACCATACGAACGTCCAAAAATGAGAAAAAAAAAAGGTACACACCCGAAAGGAGCACACTGGAACACCTATAACCCAATCCATTACGACAGTGCGGAAGCTTGGGTGGGCTATTCCACCATTAAATTCCTGTAAAGCTTAGAACTATGTTGATCAACATAGTTATTCTGCCATAACTGGATGAGTCTTCACTGGTGCATTTAGCAACGAATTCAGATTTGATAGAATAAATAGATCTATATCACCAAAATCAACGAGATTCGAATAACTAACTGTCAAACAGGGAACAGGAAAGGTCGGCGCTACAAGCAAATGTTAGACCCATAGAAAATTACAGGCTGATACAACAACAAGCGAACAGCAAAACAGTCAAACCTTTGGGTTAATCACTAACAGTGTTAAAATTACAGATAGACATATTATACATTACATAAAGCAATTGCGTGCGATCGTCTTCATACAGATCACAGCCATTCAGCAACGATTATGTTCCATACACATATAAGCTTAATATATACCAGATAAATGGAATGGGGACATCACAATCTTAAAGATTACAAACATAAGGGAGAGATAGACGCGGAAGTAGGAGACTGACATGTGTAATATGCTAGCTACCGACGGAGGAGACAAGTTTGCGCACTAAGGTTACAATAAGAAGATTAAGTATTTTACTTTCACTAATAAATAATTATGAAGAAAGAACTCATAATTGAAGTAATTCACGTCTGTGCTCCTAAACGAAGGAAACAATTTTGACAAACACGAACTGGTCGAGAGATCCTCATATGTGTAATGTGTGATTCGAATCGACTACATCTGAAAAGGTATTGTTTTGAGGTAAATATATAGATCTATGGTAGAACAACAACCGTTTTGAAGTTGTCTCAACAAGCAGTTCTGTATTCGTACAAAAAGATTAAGGATAAAACGTTCGAATTTGATCGATTCCTAACAGATGCGAAATGCGTTGTTTAACACCATCAGAGATGGCAATAGGGAATGAATGCATATTTGGTCTACACAGTGACGTATACTAGATGGGATGACCTATGAGCGGATAAAGAGAGTGCATTTCATACTCGCTGGCAAGTCCTGCACTACTACGTTCCCAACTCCAGAACGACGGAGGACATGCTTTGCTTGTGTCATAGGATCGAACAAGGAACCGTTGTATTTCAGAGCACATTTTACCATTGCGTTACATGCACCCTATACTCTTAAACAACTACAAATGAACTCTAAAAACATAGTGGTAACACCAATCGCTTATGTATAGAATGCACAGTTCCAAATAGAGTTTAGATGCAGTGACCTTTCATAGATTAATATCAATCAAGCAAGAACAAGTATAATGAACACGTTTTTACCAGTATATCGCAGGCTGGAAACAATCAGCTTCAAAAAATCCGGAGTTCTGTATCCAATAGAAAAAGGCCCTTGACTGACAAATACTTCACTGCGGAGACTGATTTTAATACCTTTGTGGACGTGGTACTCTGCTGGTGATGGGTTTCGTTTGTAAAGTAAACGTGTCATCGTTTCGCATTCGTACTGGTTCGAATTTCGGACTACTGTTTGCGAAACATGAAGGAACGCGTTCTAATGCAACATATGCGAGAAATTAACAAACCAAGACATAAAATGCTGCCATAAAGCAGTTATTTCGCCTTCTTGTGAGCCTGGAAAGGTCAAGTCGACTGCAGTTTAGTCAGCAAAATAGCTCCGTAACAAAAAACAGAAAAATCACGAAACCTACATTTCAAACGCATTGGAAATAAAACAATTTTCTATGAATCCTTCGGTATGTATGCCACGTCAAGACCAACCTGTTTTTCCTTTAAAACTGCAAGTCTGGAATTATCTCTAAAGGAAGAATCTTCAAATTGCAGCGGAAAATAGCCATTTCGAATGGCTACGAAACTGTAGCAGCACTGGATAGGTGTAGGAGAAAAACCCAAATCAAACGAAAGTTCTAGTGAGAATAAAGTTCCGCTTATCCCACTCTTCATTACCAACGAAATAAGCACGACTATAAAGCGGTGAAGTCGAAATCAGCCGAAATGTCATCTCTGGAGAATAAAGAGCATAATAACTCGAAAGACCGACTTTCTATAAACCTCGGCATAGATAGTTGATATATTTATTTATGTGATCTTATAAACTGATCTTTTTAAGCTGACGCGAGGTTGGTACAGATCTTCGTTGTCGTTGTCGCTGTCTTTGATGTTATTGGTCGATGGCTAACGTTTCGGCGATTTTATTTTTAGTAGTCTTGAAAATTATATAACGATTATTGACATCCCACCCAATACCCTACGCCGCCAGTTAGTTCGAAACCGTCTCTATGACCGTTTGTGCAGATCAGAAAACGGTATGATCTGTCCTAATGGGAGAGACGGAGATTGCATGACTTTAGGTATAATATACTTGATTTCATGTAACGCATGCGGTGAGGAATATATTGGGGAAACGGGTAGACCACTTTGTGTCCGCATAAAAGAACATCTAGATGGAAAAGCTAAAATCCGTTTAAACACTCCTCTAGGCTCGCGTAAGGCACAAAAGCACAACGGCGATGATTTTGAAGTGACTGTCCAGATTCTTGCGCAGGAATCGAAAACATCAACCCGCAAAACTGTTGAGGGGTTTTGGATAAATTTCAAAGATCCAACGATGAACCAGAAAGAAGAATGCCTCACTATCACGCGTGACCTGGCGACCATTGTTAACCAGCAGCGAAATTCAAACCCATTTTGTTAAAAACCATTCGCTAAAACTTACTTAGCACAGAAAATCTGCCCACAGTTTCTACAATGATGTTTTCGATCAGCTATGGAGAATTTATGCTGGCATTGAGTACATCTTTGACGTGCAACGTCCTAAACCAGTTTTAAACGGTCTACAAATACAAATATAAATTCCAAATGTCTACAACAGAATCGAAAAGCACCTGAACCCAATGGTCAGCTCGCCCCCCATCCTCACCGGCTTGCCAGCACCATAACCGTCCAATTCCGTCACCAACCAGAAAAGATTTGTGGTCTCTGATATACTGGCTTTTTATTGAAAACAGAAAAAAATACCACATAAAAGACAAGGTATTCTAGAATTCAAGTCTAAGTCTCAACAGAATTCATAAAAATTGCTAAACGAGGTCAAGTCGAAGTGTCATCTGTTTCTAACAAGCATGCGGACGAGATTGATAGGAAAGATATCACTACCCATATTATTACAGTATTATAAAAAGAAAAACTTACAGTACCACCCTAAAAAGTACTTTTTCGTAAATTCCCACCTAGTTATAATTGTAAGGTGATAAAAGAACAGTTATTCTGAAGAAAAAACACCTGCTCGGCGCAAGACATGTGATAGGTGCTGGGTGGGTGTTGTCTGGTCGATTGAACGCCGTATGTACAGTAAGTGCTGCCCTTTGCATTAGGACACGTACATATTGAGGACACTCAGGGCGTTCTATCCCTTAAATGGCGATCTCGGCGTCAAACATATACACAGAAATTGTAATGGGAAGATATTAGAACCAAAAATAATGTAAGCAAAAAAAGAACTGAAGAGAATCCCGGATTCACGTTTTCACGATTAATATAATAAGCGTAATCGAAATGTTAATACAATTTTGTTGACTTGCTCTATGATTCCAATAACTTTTACAGCTCGTGATCTCGTTGCAGCAAAACAGAATGCTTAAGTTAGGGCGCTTTATCACAATACACATCTTGCGGTTTACTTTTGGATGTTTTGGAATATGTCCAAAACGCGTCAAGAGTTCTATGCGCCAATGTTCTGAATTCCTGTGCCAGGACGGTGACTTTTACTTCAGTCTTCTCCGTTATGTCTTGGAAAAAACAGGATGGTGAGTTCCCAGGATCGACTTTCTATTAACCCCGGCATTGGAATATGAATGTATCGTTTTCTTTTTCAGCAATGGCGAGGTTTTTAAACAGCATACATTTACTTCCATAGAAGAACACAATACAATACAACACTAGCTGACGTTTCGGCACTATCACCTTCTTCAGAGCCGCTTTTTCGTGACTGCCAATGAGGAAGTTTAGAACAGCTGATTATAGTCACATATGGTTGACGACTGGCAGGCCTCACTAGAAGTCACGAAAAAAAGCGGCTCTGAAGAAGCCGGTACTGCCGAAACGTCAGCTAGTGTTGTATTGTATTGTGTTCTTATATGGAAATAAATGTATGCTGTTTAAAAACCTCGCGATTGCTGAACAAGGATAGTGTTTAAAAACAAGATTATATGTCAATTTGACCTTTCCTGGCTGTGAAGAAAGTGAAACCGCCGAAACGCCAGCTATTCTGTATTAATAAAAGCTGTAATAAGAGCCTCGTATTCGTTCACTGTGAAAAAGTTCTACATATACATATATATATATATGTATACATATGCATATATATACATATATATGCATATGTATACATATATATACATATATATGTACAGATATAGATATATATTACATATATAAGCGAAAAGATACAAACATAACTTATCCCTGGGTTATTTTATTAAACTAGGCCAGATTTGCCTTGTGTATCGAAACAGAAGACAAGTAAATGAACCTTCACTTTCATCGTACGATGTAGACATCTTTGGACTTGCAGGTGGTTCTGGACTATGCGCTTCACTGGTATCCTGACTTCCCCCTACTTTCAGTCGACGGCGTACGCGATCTAATCGAGCGTGAACACTGGCAGATGAGGAAGCACCTGGTTTGCTGAAAACACTAGACACAGATAGTTCGCATAACTAGTGCTCTATTCATCTACTAATCTCTGGATAGTAAGCGTACATTTCAGTGTCAAAAAATGGCTTAGCTCTAACCTATCACCATACCAAATACTATATTACTCTAAAGGTAGAAATAAATTTCAAATTGGTTATTATTGGAGAGTGAGCTATTAGTAAGATTCAGCCAATGAATACTAGCACTGTTCATTCTTATGCATTTATAAACAGAATACATACAGTTGTGGTTCAATGTGTGGTGCTTCCACAGAGCCATCGTTCTCCATCATCACACACGAATATATCTTTACAACCCCATCACTGGTTCCACACACAACCACGTTGTCCGAATCCCATTCATTCATCTGTCATGAAATAAATTCACTCACTAAATATTGAGTGTTTCAAACCCGTACTCGTTAGTTAGCTAGTCTGTATTTCTAAGCAGTCCCGCTCAACATCCATATCATACCGTGCTAAATGTGATGCTAAGAATCATTTGCGACGGATCCATGATAATGTTCGAGTCACAAGTATTCACAACTGCTAACAAATCACCATTTATCGACCACAAGTGTAGTAAGGTTGTGCAAGACGTTGCTATATCACCCTAAACGTAAAGATATCGACAACTTTGTTCTCTAATAAAAGCCAAAATAACAAATCTCATTTGCCGCATTCGCAATAGGATGGCTTTCCCGATAATTAATGTCTAGCGGACATGAGGGTTTGGGAAACTCACATAGAATAATTCGCTGTAATGTTATATAAAACCTATCCGAAACATGACTCTTATTTCAAGTTTCTAAACTGATATCCAGGAAATTCTAATACAATGACGAACTCATGAAGCACTCTAGGATCGATATAATAATGAGGACGCATTGAGGGACGCTACCCTGCTCTGGTAGACAAACCTGCTGAATCGCTTCGCTGCTCAAGATAATAGCGTCGACGACAAAAAGTGAAAAAAAATAGATCGTTGTACTTGCTTCTTACTGGAAATGGTCTACGGAATCCAAAGCAGTCAATTTCCCGCATAAAAATCGATCTAGGCAAAGATATAGGGGCTAACTAAAGTTGGAAGGTAAACGTGATTCAACGCATACATTGAATTCATTGTTCAATGTATAAGGGAGCGAATGGATTCTGTTCTTCAGTAATTTTTAAACATTACGAACCAAATATTATTTAGTGTTAAACCTACAGTAGTGTCGTTGATGGCTACTGCTGATACAGGACTTGGGTGCAATGGCAACTGGCGGATCAAGTACAACTCAGACTGATGCCACAGTATCACCGAACAGTCTCGACTAGCAGATACAACAAATGCATGAGCGGAGCAAACTACCTAAAACAAAAATTTCGAGGAAATACGCACTTCAGCCAATACTACACACCGAAAAAAAGCTCCAAGTTCACAACAGAATTATGAGCAATATCAAACAATTAAGCAACATTTTAATTGATTTAAAACATTTAACAAAACAGCAACATAAGTCAAACAATCGACATAAACTCTGCGGTTTCAAATACATTTTGGCCAAGTACTAAACTAATTCAGATGCAACCACAAGAATACGGAGATACGAGCAAAACTCGGAATCTCAGGTGGGATTCGAAACCGTGATTATAGGTAACAAAAAAAATATGCCTATTTACCAAGCATGTTATCGCATCGGAATGACCGTCCAGTAATTTCCGTCTTTTTAACGATACCGGCTTTCTAGAAAGCGTCCATACACTGCAACCATACACAGTTATTTTGTAAAGGAATTGTTCTTCCTAACGGCTTACCGCCGTCTAGGCTGGAAGTTGTTCCTAGGTGCCGGGTGCGATGTACGGTGGGGTGATTCAACCCCCAACAGGGCTTTCCAAGCTGAGAAAGACTTCGGCGTTCCCATCAGGAAGCCCAGGTAAGAGTAAACAAATACCAGGATCCACCACCGTCCTGGTGTCAAACTACTTGCATGGTGGCAAATCTCATCTGATCCACAAGAGCGGCAACAGTCGTCGTGGTGACGACCGGGCGCAGACTTCAGGTAGGTTGACCTCGGGACTCCAGGGAACTACAGTGGCTAAACCAATAAATCTCCAAAAAAGTGGAAATTATGCTGGGGTCTGCACAAGCATTGAAGACAGGTCATCCAAGTAACAAAGTATGTTGAAGGAATTTCTAGCTGTTTTCAAATCTGGAAGCATTACGAGGTACAACGATGATAGGAAACAAACCTTACACAACCAGTGCTGCTACCACAGAACAATGTGCGATCGTCACCACTAGCAATACATGTTAATTCGTCGGCATCGCACATTTCATGGATGCATGATGACTAGAAGAATAAAACATGAAATCGTGCCTAATTTTAAAACCGATAGGATTTTTCTAGGACTGTTTATTCCTCTTATTTCCCAACTAGCTTCCTCCAAATCCAGTTAAATGTTGGAATTTTGGTGATTATTAGTCAGAAGTCAGTTCTTAACACTAGGGCATATGAAATACCGTCAAATTATAATCAAATATGTATAACAAATTCAAAACCAGCATATAAAAACTAGTCGCTTTTTTGGCGTGAAATACTAGGTGCTGTTTAAAAAAAAGGAAAAAACGCTCAAAAGAAAGAAACTAGGAAAAACAAGAGTTACAATGGTATGCAATGATGTTTATACTCTATGTACAAAATGCTACACTCAAGGAAAGGAAACGCAATGAAATTCGGGTTCAACTGAACAAAACAAAGCTTTTACAAAAAAGGTAGAACCACCTTATCGGAGTCGATTTGCCCCATGCGAATTGAACGGTCTGGAAAGCCCCATGCAATATATCGATTCGAACCGATTAACACTTTATTCTGTTCCAAAGCAATCACTCCTGTACGTTCACTTTGATATATAGAACCAACTGCAGAACGAAGTTCTAAAATGTAATGTAGCATAGTAAAAAAAAATATGAGAAAACGTTGGAAAATCTGGTAAGGCAACCGTGGGCGTTCCAGGGACATTCCTTGACGGAGTAAAATTTCTGATTTTGGAATACAGAAACGTTACTGCAACATCTTGATCATCCCTAGCTTTATATGAAGCAATTAGTCACTTCTTTTAAACAGATCGAAGTAGAAACCGAGGTTGTACTTCTCCAATGCCTTCTGAATGGAATAATCGCTGTTTTTATTAAAGCGCAACTTAGTCTAGTGATTGGCCCCAATTAGGCCCTTTTTTATAACAGTTTATCGTTTGCGTACGAAGTTTTATAAATCCATACGCGAGTAGAGTGCGGCTTAAGTGACTACATGGTGAGACGTTAGCTCCAGAGTTTGTGGGGAAAGCATCTTTGAATTCGGAATTCGAAATGTTTGTGCTTCCTTGCACTGTCGTGGACATGCTTTTTATTCATCTGTATTTTAGTGATGTCAAATAAGAGATTTAAAAACAACCGTGATTTGAAAATTGTATCCCTCAGGCCACACATGATTCTACTAATAATCATGTAACTCAGGACAGTGAGTCATTTTCAGTGGTACGCTGGCGGATCCGACTTACTTTGAACACAGTGTGTTGTCAACGACAGTAAATCAGCATTCAGTGCTGTTCTTAAAGCATTAGAGAATCAGCGACACACAGTGGAATCGAACACGATGCCACTGTGAAATATAGAATTAATACATGCAAATGCGACGCTTGTGCTGTTGACGACCAACAGGTAGTTCTAGTATAATAGAAGTCAATCCCTGCAATTTCGATAATGTGGTGCGTGTAGCACACTGGTTAAAAGTGCCCTGCCATAAGTCCGAGGTCGTTGTTTTGATCCAGTGCCCGGATCTCGCCATGCTTTCTATCCCTCTAAAGTTGAGCAATCGGTACCAGACATATCTGGAATGATAACAGCTTGATTTGATATATCGTCACCCCACTGGAAATCATTTTAAACGCCTTATATGCATTCGGTCATCTCAAATGATGCTCGGTGTAGTCGAATGGAGCTTGTTCCCCTCAGGGAATGACTAAAGGGCGGAGCATTACCACGTCATTTTTTATACCTTTACAGAAAATCTTTTGAATGTAGAACATTCCACCATGCAGTGCGCCTAGATCCGTTTTAATCATTAAAAAGCTAATAACCAGCTGTGCTAATCACGCCATGCAAATATATGCCCAGCTAATCCTACTGTATTGATAAGCTATAACGTAGATATTACACAAATTTTTATTCGTATTTTTTTTGAGCAAACGCGAGGTGTTACTATTCTTTGTTCACGATTAGGCTGACGTTTCGGCGAATTTCGCCTTCTTCAGAGCCTGGAAAGGTCAAGTTGATAGCAACTCACTCGGCCAAACACCTCCATAACCAAACAAAGAAACTCAAAACCAAGATTTCAATCACTTTGAACACAGCTTTGCACACTCACCGCTTTCTATGAGGTTTCCACTAAGTATGTCACGTAGAGACCAACCGCACAGAAATCACGTGGAAGTATAATGTCGTGAATTTTATATTTTTATATTTTAATTTTATATTTTATACAAATTTTTATACCGCGTTCGCTACCGGAAAGGCTAATAGCGTGTTGGCTCCCCACCCAGACATCTGCGGTCCGGAATTTTGCAAATATCTCAGGATCATTGTGGTTGAGTCACACATAATACCCTGTCGTAAA